CCCCCCCCCCCCCCCCCCGTTTTCTTCATTTTTACATGCAGTTGGTGGGAAGATAGAAGCTGGACAACTGACCCAGGTGCTGATTGCTATCTGTGTGGCCTTGACACAATCATTTAAGGCTTCCTCTGCAAAGTGGGGACCAGAGCTCTTTCCCCATACACTCGTGTGCTGAGCATATGAAAGGAGGGAGAAAATACAAAGTGGGCCCAATGTGTGCTTGGGAACATTTGGGTCGTGGAGTCCACACTAGGTCAGACTCCCTAGCCTGCTCCCGTCTCCACCATCGCTAAGGCTAAGCCAGAAATCTGGGACAAAGGAAAAGTGGCTGTTCCTGCCTGAGCTCTGCCTCTGACCACGTGGGCCCCACTCCACCTGGCATCATTCATTCAGAACTCGGGCTTGGGAAGTCATTGTGCCAGGGGGTGGCAGGATCTGGCGGCCACTCTGATGGCGTTCACAGCAGGTTCTTTCACTGGGCCAAGCAGTGAGGCCCAGCCTGCGTCTCTGTTGCTTCATGCACAGGCGTGTTTCGGGCTGCCTTGCTCACGGCTCACGTGCTATCCTGGGACTGGGAGCATCTGTGCTTCAGAAGACGCCGCCTAATTTGAGTGCAGGTGATATCAAATGCTCAGCGCGGCACACAGATCGAAATGAAAGCAAATTGGAATTACTTAATTCTGAAGGGCTGTTTATTGAGTTGTGATAACGTACCTGGGTATATATTAGATTGCTCTGTAATTGAGGTTTCGCTCAATTGACAATCCGGCCCCTTGACCTACCTGTTTCAGACCAGTGTTCACAAATACGCTGATCCTCTTCTCATTCTTGGTCTCCAACTCTCTTTGATTTCAAGGCATCTTAAGTTATCCCAAGGATGGAGTTCTCTTCGATCAAAGTGATGCAGACGGATGTGGTCCTGATGAAAATTCCTTAATGTAAAAACAATGTGTCATGGGTAGTGATTTTTAAATCGGGCTCCCGGCTCCATTTAACAACCTTCCATGGGCCCAGAGCCCTGTTATCAGTATGCAGATTAGTGCCCAGAAGAAATCTAATGCTGCTGCTGAGTCAGATGTTCGGATTTAAGTAATGATGCGACTTCCTGCCAGGGCAGCTGGGTAGTTTCAGGCGTAGGGATTTGGATGTCACCACACTTCCAGTCTCTGTCCTGGCCTCAGATCCTGTATTCTCTCTGGGCCTCAATTTCCTCATCTCTTCAGTGGGGGTGAATAGATTTAATTGAGTCCTTATGAGAGGAAGACATTATATGTCTAGATCCTAGCACAAAGTGGACACACATGCAGTTACAGCTGTCACTGTCCATCATCATCTTTTACTGTCATAATAAGGGGTGGTACTCGAGTAGGTGGTTCATGTTTCCTTGTCCTGCTTGAAGGAATGACAAGCTGTACTGTAGAGATTTAGATTTAGTTATCTGCAGGTCTCTCTCCTTTCCTCCTCTGAAATGGGGTTGATGCCATCAAATGCAGCATATTGGTCAAAATCAGTTTCAGAAATGCTTCATTTATGTTGCACTGTCTTGTTTTTAATTAAAAAAAATTAAAGACTATAATTCCAATATTTAAATCCCTCTTGAAATAGTATCAGGTTTGGCCACTTTGAGCCTGCACCGGTGGGTAAGTGTGGCCGCTCCATTCTGGGGCGTGTGTTTCACACTCGCTCACTGCCCACTCTTGGCCTGTTTGGCTCACATAACTAGTCTAATTGCTTTAGGCATTTGAGTTTCCAGCCTCTGGGTTAGAGATTTCACGGCTGGAGTAGCTGATTTGTCCCTGTGTTCATTTGTGTAATAGTTTATTGAGCCCAGCTATGTGTCAGGTATGTAATAAGC